GTCCCCAACAGTATATTCACCCGTTAATACACGTGCCACGTACATATAACGATTGCCATTTGGATCTGGTGGCGAGTAATTTGATCTCGCAGAGAATTCTGCATCTACAGCGAAGTACACTCCTTGACCGTAGTAAGTAGCTGAAATTAGAAATATGTCATTGGACCACTATACATTCAATTCTGCCAACGACAAAGCCGTCTTTAGACTGCGAGCGCGCAGACCCTGTTTCCCTCGGTCACTGTTTGGCTTTTGCTATGGGTCAATTTTGCYGAGCGAGGATAAGTCTAATGTCCACCGGGGAGGRGTGTGGGCGGGTATTTTCCTTTCATCCCTCATTCCCATCACCCCTCCCCCTTGTACATTTTGATACAAGTATTAAGCTGCGCTATGGGCCGTTGTGAATTTGATGGCTGAATTTGAGCGTGTCAAMTCAAAAGGGAGAACATTAGATTATACGAATTATRTAAGGGCAAATGTTACAGTTTTTGTTGCAATCATTTGGAGTAGGATATAAAAACAAATYTGTATAGTAAAAAAGAAATGCACCAGCTCTTCCGCCTTCGACCAGTTCCAATCTATTATGATTTTACACACGTTCCCCTAACTCATGCAGTTTTTTTTAATTTTTTTTAACGCACACTAAACTAAGCATATAGTRAAACACATAGAGCTATAAGCTAAATATAAAGAAACAATATAAAATGTTTTTACAAACCATTTCGCCCTGCATAACTCCTGTTGAATCCCATTGCATTGATACTACCACAGCTCTCTGGTTGGGTACCATGAAACAGCATCTTTTCATTACTACCTGTGCTCTTTTCCTCGTCCATCCTTTGTTTCCTCACAGCATATATCTTGTACTGTGCTGGATTCTGAACGCGTTGTATTTTCTTGATCTTGTTTGATGCGGGKAGGGTTTTCTTTACAAGATCACTAATCTTTAGGTATTCATTAACGTGTTTGCGACGATCAAGATCGACAAGATGAACTGTTACCTCGCTACCGCTACTGCTCAGTGGTTGGGRGTCCCAATCGTCCGGCAACGATATTTCTACAGGACAGAAAAAAATCATCAGTATCTAACTCTTAGTTTTTATAACATTAATCGCTTCTTTCAACTTAGATCTTTCAATTCTTTTCATCGAAAAGTCTATAATCCCATAGGTAAAGAGCATAAATAGTTATGCTCTCTTGCTTATAGTCTGTACTATTCGGCTGAAACTTCAATGGAATAATTCTTAAGGGTTGAATAATCACTGGTTAAAGTTTTTTCTTTATATTC